TCTGATTCTGGGCACTGTAAATCGAATCTAGCCCCACACAGACAGAACAGAAATGCTGGATTCCTTTCGAGTTGTGTCAACCCCCCCCATAAAGCCTCATTTATTTCATCTAATCAGCCACCATGCTTTCACCAAGTGGACAGCTTCTATTTCAGAGTCCAACAGGTAACAGAGGCCCAAGAATTCCATAGCTGATTCCTGAGGAGATCAGGTGGATTGTTTGTTAGTCCTCTGGCAGGAAGGTCTGCTGGTATTTACAGCTCAGTGAACAGTAAGGAGGGAGAGTGCACCATCCATCAGCAAAGGGAAACTCATCTGCTACTTGATCTGACATTCTGTTCGCGCTTACGCTGTCTCCAGAGAGCAAGGTGCATCCATTTGAATAAACATGGAGACAGGAGGAAGGGAGGCGAGCAAAGCAGCCAAGGGGATGATGGCAGAGATAACAAGTCCACAGACCAAGAAGAGCAGCTCTCAGCAGAGCACTGCCTCAACATGAGACCCTTTAGAATGCAGAAAATGCCCTTTAGACTTGCCATTCACCTCCGCTCAGGCCTGCCACTTAGTAGGTGCTGAACAGTGGTGTGTTGAATGAACACAGGCTTGTCCTGAACCCCAGCCAAAAGGCAGGCACCCTAATTACAATACCAGGGTGAGCTGGTAGGAGGAAACCACCAGCTTCTGGCAGCAGGGGACGTCTTAAGACTTCCTTCCCTGACAGGGTGGGGTCTGTCCTTGGAATCATATCCCACTGTAAGGCCTGACACATTTGTATGAGCGTGGCTGTCTTGGTCAGGCAAATCCTTCAATCTGTTTTACAACGGCACTGAGCAGGAACCTTGGGAATGAACACACATCCAAAGTGCTCCGTTTTACTCTGTTCATTTCTGTAAAGCACACAGACTAGCAGGCCATGCCTCATTTCTCTGTTCATTTCTGTAAAGCACACAGACTAGCAGGCCATGCCTCATTTCCACCTTCGAGCTCTCTATCTTCCTAAAAACCCACTTCATGCTCCAGAGACAGACAAGACAGCTCGGACTCGACATCACAAAAAACTCAACACCTCAAATGAGGGCAAACTGGAGTGGCCATGGCAACCCCCTGTTCATTTTGCATTTTCATCAGGTAGCTGGCCAACCAGTTGTTACTATTTGTTTAGAACTTAAAGCAATATTCTGCTGATTCCATTCTTCATTAAATATAATTCCTTAAGAGATTTCTTTGTGAAGGTTTTGGTAATTAAATAAAATTAACTCCTCCTTTTAAAATATTGATTAGTCTGAATAACTAAAAGAGTCCTACTGATTGCAAAATGGTTAAGTTGTATCACAGGTAAGGCCACAACCTCCTAATAAACAAAAATTTTTAAAATGCCACACATTAAAAAAAAGACACTGATTAACTCATGGTATGTGTGAAACTATTGTGCTGTCTCAAATGTCATTGTTTATTTCTCAGTACCAAAATGCTTTGGATTGTCTGACACAGGGCTCCCAAACACTAGTTCACAATCACATATACAAAAAAAATATATATAAAAAATTCCAGAAAGCTATGTTCAAATGAAACTTTTAATAAAGTGTTAAGAAGCAGTCTTTTAAAATGCCAGTCTGATCTATGACATCTCTTAAGTGGATGCAAGTTTCCCATTACAACATGTATCAAGCAAAAGAATTTTGCAGCATCCGCCAGCCAGTCCTTTATCATATCACTTCAGCTACTACAGACATACGCGTATATGGAAGCCTCTTCCTTCCTCTAATCAGCATGATACAACATGGATGACAACATAGGCTGAATGGAACAGCTCTTGGCTCTTTTGGAAATGCTGATTTGAAAGGGTCTGGAGATGTCTGAATATCAATATTCTTCCTCTCAGTCCAACAGGCAGAGCTATGAAACCCCAAACCCCATTAGGAAATCAAATTCTCACAGGGCATCACCCATGGAAAACTCTTTAATTTCATCTGCCCAGGTGAAATAAAATAGCAGCCCAATTAACTCACATGTACGGCCTGAAAGGTTGGTTGGTCACCAATCGTATTGCACAGGCAAGTCCGAAATTGCTTTCTGTAAATGCCACCTAGATTTTCAGGCCTGGCCCCACCCACAGTACAGTTCTCCTGACTCAAGTGACTCTCAGCCAAATGGCAATCAGGAAAATCATCTCTGCAAGGGAAGACTCAAAAGAATTTGTCACTAGGATACAGTGACACCAATCCCACATTTTGTGGTTAATAAAACAAGTCCTGCATTCGGCTTGGCACAAGGCCCTGATCTGATTTATTTCAAGCCAAGCTGGAGGACTTACAGAAAAAGCTGCCATTCATGAATGCTTCAGGACAGGACACCAGGGTCCCTTGTAGCAAAATTTACATGAGCCAGAAATCTCTCTGATCTTTTGAGCAAACCTAACCTATCTAAAGAGTGTTGGTGTATTTTAAAAAATATTAATAGTTTTACCTACAAAATCTGTTTTGACTGACATTTTTTTTTCCAAAAAGGTGTCCTGTGGGGGTGAGAAAAGAGGGGGAGTGCAGGGAAGAGAAAAAATGCTCAGATATCTGATTTAACCACCTCAAACATCAAAAGCTTGTTCCCCCCCCCCTTAGTGTAACCAAGTATGAGACACACGAGATTTTCTCAGCAAAGTCTACATTTAAGTCTACATACAGCCTTCATTTAAGATTTCCTGCCTCAGTACATAATTAGGAATTTTCATTCTAAAATGGCACACCTATCTCCTCAGAGAGTTCAGCTCTCTCTGAATAAAAAAGGCAAGGTACCCTTTGGCGGACTGGGTATATATTTTTAAACATCTTATTAAACCAACCTAATTCTGAGGCATGTTCAAGAAAAGCAGGTAAGGAGTGGATCTGGTGGATGCAAAGTTAATTTGCAGTCTCTAGCATACCCCCACCCCCTTTTTCCTTCCCCTCCCTGTGGGCTTCCGAATGCCTTCGGCCCCCTCCGAAGCACTCGGCTGTCTCTGCCGGAGCCCCGACTCGGTTCCGAACACTGACGACTCCCTCCGAGCTCCTCAGCCAGCCCACGCCGAGCCTTGCCGAGCGCCGCCGAGCTGAGCCCCATCGACTTTTCTGGCCTCGGCTGGGCGCTGTCCACCACTCGCGACGCCTGAAACCTCACCCAGCTCCGGTGGCTGGGGCTTCTACCGGGCTCTGAGCCCGCCACTGCAGATTACAGACTCCTGAAGTTTTAAAACGTCCCCCTTGGGGAAGAAAGGGATGGCTCTGCTTGCATTTACAGACCTGCAAGGGCTCCAGGCAGATGCAACATGCACCTTGTTGCAAAGAGCAATTCCCCAGGCCCCGCCTCCCCATCCATCTGGGTTGCACAAGCTCCAGAGAAGCCCCAGGCCAAATAACCCGTGGCTCAGAGGGGTACGGCAAGCTGAGGGGGCCTCTGCAAAAAACGCCCCAGGGAGCTCTTGGACAAAAATAAGAGCATGTCAAGCAAACGGGGGAAATTGTCTCCAAGTCGCTACTCCCAACCATCATGGCGCCGCCTAGAACCCGCTTGTCATGCCTGTTACACATGCAAGATTTTTTCCATCTTGGTTCTGAAACCGCAAGCATGCTTCGTCTCCCACCCACCTTTCCACGAAAGGGGTTTTTATTTTCCATTGTTTTCCTACGGGATGCAATTACTTCGGCTATTCTGTCAAGTTGAAAAATAATCATTTTTGTTTACTGCACAGCAACCCCTAATTAGGACCTGTGTGTGCACGAAGGTGTCACAGCAAAGCGACATGGAATCCTCGCTAAACGGTCTTAACAAACTCCTCCGTCCTGAACTGACAGGTCAACGGAAGCAGCAGGGCCAGAAGGCCCGGAGAGCGCGCACCTCCTCCCCGCGTACCCCTTTCCCACAGGCCACCCCCTCCCCAAACAAGCTGCCTGTGGGCTCACCAGGAACTGCCGAGTGAATGGGGCAAGAAGCGAGCTTGAGAGTGGGAAGGAGGGGCGAGGCTCCTTATTGAGAAAGTGTGGAAGGGAAGGAATATCCCATTTTGTTTTAATTTTCAACCATCACTCAAATCCACCCCCAGTTAATTAGAAGGGGAGACTGATATCTAAGGAAGAAGGGGGCGGCAGCAAGGAGGGCCTGAAATCCGCATTGTAGGTAGATTACACGGAGCATGGCCTATGCAGAAGGTAAATAAATACATTGATAAAGGCCACAAAGTGAATGAACAGTCAGTGTCAGGAGAGCAAACGCTGGGAGAGTGGGGGAGGGAGGGGGGGCAGCAAGGGGCGGGCATTCAGCCTCGCAGCCAGCGTCCCCCTTCCACCTCTGCCTTGGATACAGCTGTGCCAGTTACATCCACTTGGAAACCCACCCCCACCCCTACCACATGCCCCTTCCCCTAACCCTCATTCTCTTTTTTGAGGGGTGGGGGCAGAAACCACAACCTCCAATTCAGCACCAAATCTATGAACAGCAGACACTTGATCCTCCAACCCAGCAATCTAGGGCTGGGTCCTCTCCATATTTTAGCCAAGTTCAAAATCACTGCCCCAGGAGAAGAGTAAGGGAAATGGGATTATGGATGTGGAGTGGGGGGTGGAGGGAGCAGGAGCGAGCGACAGAATGAAACGGAGACAGGGAGACACAAATGGAGGCAGCGATACCCACAAAACCCTACAAACAAGAGTAATGATCATAATCATGCCAATAGTGTGATGTTCTGATCAATATGGCGGACACTGTCATTCATACAACTACAGACGCTCCCTGTCCCTCCTACCCAAGACACCCACCCTGGGAGTTGGGGTGTAGGACCCAGAACCAACGTAGGGTGTGGGGGAGGGGAGTCAAATCCAGGTGTGTGTGTGTGTGTGTGTGTGTGTGTGTGTGTGTGTGAACACCAATTAAAAACCCCGGCCTGGAGTGCAATGTGGAGTGAGCAAGGTAATACAAATGATAAAAAATTATCCTTAATAAAAGTACAAATCCCAATGCCACAGGGGACTTACTTCATCTGCTTCACAATGGTGCTTTTTCCTGATTCTCCAGCCCCTGTTGGGACAGACAGGGGGGGATAAACTGGTGAGTGTCAGTTTAGGGGAATGGGGGAGGGTTGGGGGTAAGGCATGCGAGGGGGTGGGCGATCTTGGGCACATGGTGGTACCAACTCAGGGACCAGGTCTCCCGGGGCGCGAGTGGGGTGGGGGTGCTGGCGGAGGGGGGGTGCGGAGTGGCCGAGGTCGGGGGATGGGGGTGGCAGCCCGGTCCTTACCCAGCAGGAGTAATTTCACGTCTTTGGCGGCGCTGATGCCGTCCTCTTTGAGGTTTTTCTCAATCGCCTTGCTCCGCTCGAGGGCGGCTCTCTCTTCTGCGCTCAGAGTACATCCCATGGTGGCCCCTTCCCTGCCACAGCCCGCACGACTCGGCTGGCACGGCTCCCCGGCTCGGCGCGCCCCCCACCCCCCCAGAGAGCAGAGCCTGGGCTCAAAGGGGGAAAAAAAACCACGATATCCTCCCCTTGGCTGAAAACAAAAATGTCGGGAAACCAGCACCCCCGAAAAAGGCAGCCGCTAACAAGATTCTAGCAGCGGAGACTCGCAGAAGCTGGCGGGGTTCTGGGGGTGTCGAGGCGAGGGTGGCCTGGGCTGGGGCTCCGGAGCCGAGGCAGGAGGCGCCCGCGGTCCGAGGAAGCGCGGGCTGCAGGCACTGAGGCTTGTGCACGACCCAAAATAAAATAATAGTCGAGGCAGGAGCCGCACGGGAGCCGGCGGAGGGTGGGGTGGGGGGCAGGGTGGGTCCTTCTGCCGCTGCTGCCGGAGGAGGAGGAGGAGGAGGAGGAAGAGGAGGAGG